AGTAAGCAGATGTGTCAGGACAGGCGTGATAGCATAATCATTGGATAGAAGGCTGATCAAGGGATTGACTTCACTTCTTTCTTTATCTAGGTGCTAAGAATGACAAGACTTATTGACGATGCGGACAAAGCGTCTGGGAATGTACCAAGTACACGGCCCGATGCTGAAAATTATGATAACTACTTTAATAAAGGATCTCAAATAAGGTGAGTCCAACTAAGTCGCAATGACAACACGACCAAGCAGCGAAAACGAGGTCAGGCAATTTCAATAATCAGAAAGGTTATACATTCAGTTAAAAAATATCAGGCCTTCCTTGGCAATCGACCATCCATTCACCTAGGCTACAACGATTAGCAGGGAAATTGATAACTCTTAAGGTCAGGCTACCAATAGTCATAATTTAGGCCTTATATAGCTATTTTTGGAAGACATACATTTCGGAACAAAGTGCATGAAGGGATTCGAAGGCTGCTCTCACCAAATGAGGGCTGATACTCGTTACATTGCAGCACTCGCACGAGGTAATGAATTTGGTCAAGTCTAAATGAGGAAGCTTTTTGTAAGGTAAGGTTAAGAAAAATTATACAGCAAAGTGAGACACCACGTTTAGGTTGACGTAGTCCACGAGACAACCTCCTTCACTTCGGGTGAAAACTGGCTGAGCTTTAGTCCATCATATGATAAACATCATAAGAGCGGGAACCCCTTCTTGGCCTTCTTGACGTAGTGTTAAGGTAGGACTTTTACAAGGATGAGTTCCAGCTGTGATGATGCTCATCATATTATGGATGATAACTTAATCCGTATTCATCCAAAGCAAAAAAGGATGTTTCATGGACGTGAACCTGAACGTCGTATTAAAGCCAAAGGGCCGCATCCGTCCTCAATCTACGAATCTCTTCTTCATGTACTTTTATACGAAATGAAGGTCTCCTCAACAATGTTTTCTCAGGAAATTCAGTGAAATCAAATTACTCCTCATGTTTATGTAGCCATATTAAAATAGGCCCATTCAAACTGATTCGTACATTTAGTGCCACAAAAAAGGAGTAATTCCTCTTCATATGTCCTGGATTAATAAACGATATTAGTAATAGAGAATATATTCCAGTAAAATAAAAAGAAACATGAATAGTTTGAAGTGGTTTTATAAATGACTTAGTAAATGCAGATTGAATACGTTTAAAATATACTTTAATAAGAATTAAATCGCAAAACTTTTAGATCTAATCTGTGGCTGAATGTGATTAAAATGTTTCATAAATAAATATGCCTACTTCGACTGGAGGACTGCTGGCCAATAATTCGAAGCCTTCTTGACACTCTAGGGTCTTGTCTACGGTGTCATCAGTAAGACAAAGAACTCGAAGGTGCGCCTCTTCTGCATGGTGACGTCTGCCAAAGACGACGAATTGGCCTATGTAAGGCGTAGCCAATGATTCGCGATAAACCCTACTGGCGAGTTCGGTCACTTCAGAAAGATTAGGACAGTCCACTAACCAAAGTCTGAAAAAAAAGTATAAGAAAATAAGTAATGCAAAAAAATTCTATACAAACATTGAAGGATGACTTGGAGCATGGGGAAAATAATCTGGTGAAATTACATTAGCCATAGTTAAACACCGACCGTGAAGAAGTTGTATTAGTCAAGCGTTAATGAATATATTTCATCCCGACAAGAGGCTTAATTTAATCGATTTCTACAATGCACCCAAGTAGTCAAGCCTGTAAAGACTAGGCCTAGAAAGAGTTAAGCTGACAAAATATTAGTCGTAGTAGTTAATGTAACCCCCCCAAAAAAAAATTTTTTTCGGGGATTTGAGACATATCGGAATAAGACGTGATTCCAGAAGATGCAGGTTCTCAGCAAACTAATTAGCCGGAGAAATCCCTTCTAGTAGCAAAAAAGTAGGCATAACGTTTCTAGTATAAACAGCTATCAAAGATGGAATTATGACTCCTAATAAAGACACTGAGACACTCGCTAATAGTAGGCACGAAATTCTTAGCTAGAAGGCAGATAAAATTAATCTAGGATTCTGAAGTAGACTGAAGAAGGATTAAAGATGTCAGAGCCACGCTTTCCAGAAAAGTTTCTAAACTAGGCTGTACTGCAGTTTCGATCTCAAAAGAGTCCCAATCAGCACCTTAGAAGAAATCGTAACCGAGTAAGAAGGTCTTGAATAAGAATTATCTTAAGTAGCTTAGATTTTATCAAGAACTGATAGTTGAATCTGTTAGAAAAGAATGAATATAAGGCTCTGCTGTGCAATGCAATGACAGAGTGACTATACTATAGTGATAGAATTGCCGCTTGAGGCGCAAAATCCAGTTTCCAATCCTGTTTGAAATGTTTACAAAACTCGTACGAGGTAGTGAATTTGGTCAAGCCTAAATGAAGAAGCTTTTTGGAAGTTA